GGTAACTATTGTGGGAGAAATGAATACTCCTAAAATACTCGAAGAACAAGTTTATTAATATAAAATCGTAGGGGAAAAAGAGATATTAACATAATGTATAATTACCAGGTTCAACTCCTGGGCTTATTACAGACTCTGTATTTCTTATTTACTTGACAACAATCACTCGGGTAGTATACTCGTACCGTGCACAATCTTACTGGTGTCGCATTACATTACATAGCAGGACCAGTTCCTTGTCCTTACAATCCATAGCTACATGGCCACTCCTTGCAGATTACTTTACTAAGTATTTCTCATTACATCCAGTTATAAGACCAACTGGCATATGGCACTTCACAGACTTGGTAGGGCATAGGAGATGCACTCACAACAAGAAGTTAATACTGATACAAACACCTACATGAGTCCACTACCCAACATGGGGTAATTATTAACAAACCCATACAACCACACTGTGGACCATAACTCCAAGGCATAGCAGTGGTGCCTCTAACAACTGATGACTGCTGTTGTGGTCGGTTACACTCCAACACAAGGCGTCTCTGGGGCCCTCGGTCCACGAGGTAGATTGGAGCCGATTAATCATGTCGAATCCGCGCCATCCCTCCTATATTGACCACTACTGGGTATCCACCGGCTCCGAGCGACTGGTGGGTTTCAATTAAGCCCACGGTCAATCTGGAACAAATGTTGGAGCGGGCGTCAGGGGACGGACTGGGAAGCATGACAACACAACAAATCTCTGGTCTAGACGACAGACGTATTTACGTTATATTACTTCTTACACTGGGTGAATGACAATTCAGCTGTTAAAGCATGAACACTGATATTCACTACCATTGACTGAATCAACTGAATGGCTACACATAAACATACCTGGAACAAACGTTGGGGTGGGCGTCGGGACGCTCACCCTGCATGATGTGCAGGTATATATATCCCTGAGTTGCCAGTGATCGCTACTCGCGCAATGACAATACATTACAAACAACTCTAACTGTTACTCATTCAAAGATGACCCTCAGTTGACAAAGGTCTGGCGAATTACTAAAGTTGATTTACACAGACTAATTCAAGATTGCGTTTGCCAGTAGAGAGTGGAATAAACGTAGTGACAACTGTGTTCGAAGATGGGACTTAGTGGGAGTGATCCTGAGTGCAAAACAAAGGGGAAAAAACACATCTCTCCTGAGATTCTACAAGCGCGGTGGATTTGAATATTATGTAGCGTAATATGAATTAAAATGGATTTTTAGGAATGACAATGATGTGCACAGTACACTAAGACAAAAGAAGTAAGAGTAAAAGATAAGGCAGAGTATGAGTAGAGAGAAACCGCTGCTGTTACATTGGTGGCAGCGGTGGGATGTAATTCACATGGTATCAGGTCGGGAGGAATAAATGTGATACTGTGGGTAATTTGTAATAACCATTTTCTGTACAGGTACCTAATCATTTCACTGTATCTAATGAATATTTCAGATTACTAATAATTGTGTTCCGTAATTGTTACAGTGTAGTTGTAATTCTATGCCCAAAAAATTTTTTCGGTGGTTTTACGGAAAAGTTGACAACGGTTCACGACAAATACTTTACTTGGAGTTAGGTTAGACCATTGCCTCAAGAAAATTAGAAATTTGTTTTAAAGTAAAGTGTACAGTAAAATGTGGAAACATGTAATGTTCAGAGTATTGAAAAGTATCTGAAAAACAGAGGTTAGCTACCTATTTTTTTTTTTTTTGCAGTCTTTTTGTGAAATCTCAGGAAAGTGTTGGTTGGTGAAACATATACACAAGGAAAGCAAATAATTCAGGTAAAGCCCTCCAAGCTTCCCATGGTGTGAAACATGGATAAAATTTTTGTGTGCAGTGGACCAAAGAAAGCATGATACTTTATGGATAATTGAGCAGAATATGAGTGAGTGTAGGCATTAATAGAATCTGGGTACTACAGTGACCATGACAACCAAGTTCCATCTTGTGACAAAAGGCCACTGCCAATACTGTACTACTATATTCATGTCAACTGTCCTGTTGTAGAACTACATTCAAATGGACATAAGTTTTGGATCACTTGAAAATTAGCCTCCCCGCTTATTTCACCTTAAAATTAAGCACCCTCAGGTTGACCTAACCTAATCTTTCCTAATTTAACCCCCCACCTCCCAGGTAGTGTTAGGATGTTTTATCATCGGGTGAAATAAGCTGTGAATTCTAATCTTCAGGTGATCTCAAGTTTCTTTAATTTCATGGGTATTAGGCTAGGAAAACATTACCTCTAAAGAGTGGTTTATTAAAAAGGCATCACACCAAAATGCTTGTACAGTATATTATATTTGTAAGTCACTTAAACCAAGCCACCAAGAGGAGATGAGATATACAGAGTATCAGTAAAATGTTTACATAGGACTTTGTCATTTCTTTGTGACTACCATACAAGGAGACTCACAGGTTGTACACCATACTGTACAGGGCTTCTCATAAATGGTGCACCCCAGTGAAATTAACACAAGAGGAAATTCGGTTTAACACCTTGTGCATGGGGCTCTCTGTGGTGAGTAAAATTGTCTGGTGTTACCCAAATAAAATACTAAAAGTGGCATTCCCAAAGTGAAGAGGTTGAAGATGTCAAAGAATTTATCACTAGAGAAGAGTCAGTTTAATATTTATGGAAAACCAGTTGCTACACACACCGATCAATTGCAAGTGAATTCAACTACAGTAATGATACCCATATGTGCTTGGGTATTGATTAAATTATTTTGCATCCAATTTGTTATGATTCCCTCACCAGAAAAAGCAAAAGAAAACAAATTTCCCTATGGTGAGCAACTTTACAGTATGGCGAGAGACTTATGAGACACCCTGTATGCTAAGTACATTTCACAAATAAATTCCATACCCTAAATCTTTTTTCTGTAATATATTATTCCTTTATGCTAGTGACTAAACACCCAAAATAGAGAAACATGGTAATACATTTGGTGTTAGTATTAAGGCTACAACACGACTTTTGGATACACACACACATATTAAGTCCGAGAGGAGCATTACTAGACAAAATTCACTGCTGTTAAAAAGTTCTTACCTGGAAGAGCATCACCTATCATATTTCAGCTTCACAAAGATTCTATTTAAATTTAAACCAATCAAACTCCAAAACCTGAACTCTTGTCTATTGATTCATCATATTTCTCTTAACACAAAACTGTCATGGAAAAATATTCTGTATAACGCCAATATTATGAACAAATGCATTCTAATGTCGATACAAAAGTTAAGTGTAATTCTTAAGAATCAAATGGTCTTTCAGTAATTCTTTCCCTTAAAAAAGGGGGAGTGGGGGGCTCCTTTACTTATAAATTCTTTTCACTACTGTACTGCATTGTAAATCATAAAAAAAAAATTATGTAATTATTGCATCAAAGTGTCACTGGTAAAGAACTTTCATTGAGCAGTATGTTACCCAAACCAATTACCCATACAAGTTACCACCATAGTAGACTAAAGCATTAATCTTAAGAATTTTCTTCCTTGTGTTTCTCATCTTACATAATGTTATTTCTGTGTTTTATGTCTGTACAGTATTCTCAACCTTAAGACACTTTTATATGCCACTTACTTTTTATTCCCTCTTTTAATCTCCCAGAGTTACCTTGTGTAGCCAATTTAATCTAGCAGTCACCTCAAGTATAGTATTTTAATCTATTGCAGTTAATTCCTGTTATTCAATCTACCCACTTCATGTAATTCTATCTACCATCTACTGCATGTGCTTCAAGTCACCACAGCTACCTCAAGTAATTTAATGTACAAGTTACCTCATATATTTAGATGTACTAGAGTAACTTCATGTACAGTATTTCAGTCAACTAGAGTAACTTCCTGTACAGCACAGTACTTCAATCTACTACAGTAACTTCATATACAATACTTCAATCTACCACAGTAACTTCATGTACAGGACAGCAATTCAATCTACTTCAGTAACTTCATGCACACCCACCAAAAAAGTATTGCAACCCCTGCCGTACTTTACATTCTGGAACATAGGAAGAAGTGCTTTGATATACTGCACAGTATGCTGGTATGCCTGCTCTCCTTACTAGATACTTACTTCATTATACAGTATTAGAGATATGTGTTACGGTATTTGGTGTTTATACCATTATTCCTTGGATGTTTCATTTCTGCATCTTCCTACTATTTTGTTGCAATGGTTGTTTGAGAATGAAATTGGCAGCAACACTTCTACACCATTTTGACTTCATTTGTGTAATAAAGAGTTGAACTGAAATTGAATCACATGAACGGAGACCATCATTCATGCCTCGAAATCCTCCTAACTAAAAGAGAATACTCCTAGACATAAGCCTTTGAATTAAATTAACAGAACCAAAGGGTAGAGGAGAAATACCACATAATCTACGGTAATTATTTCAGTTAGCTCTTTTGCTACATGTTGGTTTTCTCCCATAAATATGTATTACAGGTTGACAATCCTTTATCCGAAATCCTTGGGGCCAAAGGCATTTCGGAACTTTTCGGTTTTCAGAATGGTTAGTTTTTTTTTTTTTTATGTGTATTAGCCCACCCGGGCATAGCTCTCTGACCCACATTGGGGCCTGGGGGGGGGGGAATATAATAATAATAATTCATAGGTCTAGGTCGTGTTTCTCACTTTTGATCTTTTTTTCATTCTTTTATTTATTTTTGTTATTTTATTATTATTAATTTTATTATTATCATTATTATTTTTTTGGGGAAAAATTTTATTTACTATGAATAATTATTATAATTATTATTACTATTACATTCCCCCAGGCCCCGATGTGGGTCAGTGATCTATGCCTAATCCCTGTAGCCCCCCATAAAAAAAACTTTCGGTTTTCGGATAAAGGGTTGTCAACCTGTACTAGTCAGACTATCCTTCCCTACTGTATGCCACAAATACAACCCTACTCATTCATCATTAAAGGTCAAAAGAATACCCAAATCATTGATTTTAATGCAAATATTGTTAGGCTTAATATTATTTCAGTAGTCAAAATCACAAAATATTGCACGTTAAAGAATCCTACCCAACAGGTACATCTTTGTCTTTACGTACTTTTTCATTCCGATTTCCATTGCACCCTGGGATTGTGACACCTTTTTGGATAGGTTTACAGTATGTATGTCAATCTACTGTGCAGTACTACAGTAACTCCATGTCATTTAATCTACCAGTTACCTCCTGTACCTCATGTATCAGTGACTTAATGTTCCTACTTCCTAAGAGTTATAATGTGCAGTAAACTGTTAAGGCCTTTCCACACACCACCAGCAATTTACACATTTACCCTTTACAATATGATACAAATGCAGCCAAAGGAAAGAAATTAAATTTAGTATTAATCATTTATATAGCATTATTTTAGTGGCATGAACTTAAAAAAATTTGAAATACAATGATCAGTTTCATAGTTTGAAGACGAAATCTCTTGAGTAATTATACTTCAATTCCATAAATAAATTTAAAGCAGCCAAGTTAGCCCTGTTTTACCTGGGTGTGGATTTGTGCCTAAGTAGGGGCTCATATATTGTTGTTGTCCACATATAACTCATTTTTTTATATGTTCTGTACAGCACTTCTCTCTCATAACAGAGTTTGAAAAAAACACATGTTAAGGAATCACTTACTGTATTGTACTCCCAAAAATTACTAAAAATTTGGTCTATTGTAGATTCCATATGAATATTTAGTATACTAACAGATCAGGTAGCTGCTGTCCAGACATGTTTCCATAGCTGTGTTATTTTCATATGTATAACTAAACTTGTCTAAAATAAGTCTTGTATTATAATGCTTTGCCTAAATGTTAAGATATGTACCTTAGTTCCATTCAACTTGAAGCTTTATTTGATGGTAGAGTTAATGTGGGACCCATCGCACAAGGGAGTTGCATTCTGGGATACAAATGATGGCAGGCAATAGTCAGGACACAGTTAAGAAAAGTTGGGTGTGAGAGTGAAGGAACTTGACTGTAGTGGAACATAATATGGCATGTGAACACAAAGACTACATCCAGGTACAATAAGGTTAAGTGGCAAGTACTGTACTGACATTTACCAACCATTAAATGTAAAGTTTGTTGGTTTGCTTACAAAAGTTTAAGGAGATAAATACTGTACCACTCTACAGTATAAATGCACCATTATTTATGTATACTGGACATACTGTATATGACTTACCACATCCAAGGTCTTGTGATAATGTAAAATATCTTTATGAGTTATATTGTGTCAATTGTTCCTTAAAAGTTCAGATAGTTTTTAAAATATAAGTCTCTGTTGTAGCCACTGCTATTTGAGCATTTGCCAGGGACACTTTCCCATTCAGCAACACTGAGTGAGTTAAGATCAAGGAATCACATGGACAATGTAGAACCAGAGAAATGTACAATAACTACCACTTTTTGTCACTTAACACGAAATACACAAAGCAAGAAGCTCTACACAGTATTGACTATATCTTTGTATATCAGGCACTTATTTTTTACTCAAGAGGCAAAACTCACCCAGACGACAACTGTAGGACAGGTTTTTGTCCACAGCCCAACCACTCATTATTTTAGATAATTTCCAAATGAACTCCCTCAACAACAATTGCACATTTCTATTAATGTTGTACAAAATATTCTGAGAGACATGTCAGTCTTCTACAGTCAGCAAATACACCTTACTTTTGATGTTCACAAAGGTAGTCTATAGTACAGTATATCATTCATATACCAATTCTTCAATTGAAAGACTTCCTACTGAAAACTCATCCTGACTCATCATAATTACTATTCGTGTAGGTTCAAATCACAACCAAAGTAATTCAAGCGTTCCTTCTCAGTATAAGATGAGCAAATTACAGGTGGAATGTGTATTAACCTAAAGCACAATTTTCCTTTTAAATCCCTTTGAAGTTATAATAAAAACTGAGCTAGAAAGCAAATACCAGTGCATAGAGTATTGACCCAACCCAACAACAGCTTAGCAGATGTCATGATATGTAACAATCAGCAAATCCTTGGCCAACACATACACACACCCACTCACCTACATACATACATACACACACTATTACAACACATACACACACACATGTATACAGTCACTCAAAAAAATTCTATACTTCGGGGTCATTGAATTTCAGAATTAACACGGTGACTCTTGTTGTCTCAGTTGGATTGTCAAAATTCTTTGTCTATTTTGTTATATTTTCTCAACACAATTTTGTATAGATAATTATTTTAGAGACTGTACACACACACACACACTCTATATGTCAGAGTTATTAATACACCTTACAAGTGAACACCCCAGTAAGGTGCTGCAGTACCCAGGACACCAGCCAACATGTCAGTGTGACCTTCAGGGGGCCGTCTCTGCCACCTTCACTTCCACATGATGATTGTCTTCTAACAGTTGTGGAATAATAAATGGAGTTGTACATACTTTTCACTAACTGGATGTACCGATAACAGCATTGTTAACTGGTTCAATACAGTATATGATGATTTATTTTGAGAATTTCAGCAGCATTAGAGATGAATGGTTTTCCTTATGGATTTTTTGTTTTCTGTGAATCTAAATTTAGAATTAGTTTCCTTAGAAAAAAATCGTTGTGAGGAAAGTAGACCAGCTATGCGTGCTTCACTCTTGCCAGTGCTACATAGCTTTTCCTGGTGGTGTTGTCATGCCAGCCCACAGGTCCCCGTTCACAGTCCGCACAGACCAGGTATTTTGTGGTGCCGACTGAGTGAGAAAATCCTATGTTGTCAAATGTGAACATGTCATCAACCACCCACCACTCGCTGAGCTACAGGGAGATACAGATACGAACATCACTGAAAGGTACTCCACCAAAAATAATTTTAGAAGATGTAGCAAATTTCAAAGAATAGATATACTGTACTCTTCATATGAGGTGGAATTTAATACTGCGTGCTGCATACTGGGCTTTTAATATGTGAATAAGAGCAAATTATTTTTTCATATTACAATTTGCATAATTTTACAAGGCTCTCACATCTTCTGTGTTGGTAGAGGCTTGGCCCTTTGGTTGTGTGGGCTTAGGTAGTGGGTGAGAACTGCTGAGGAAGGTTGCCGACTGGGGAGAGAGGACTCGAGAATCACAGTGCACACACTTCACCATAAGGCTGTTCTGGCCCTCGCTCACTAAACTACTGACATCTGCCATACTGCAAACTGGAAAGCAAAATACTGGTGTGTATACTTAAGTACGATCCTTTATGCTGTATCATTAGTACCTACTACCTTAATCCAATTCTCCTTAAGAGGTAAACCATATATATACTGCCTTTGGTCCTTTTCATCAATTAAACCACTGTGGTAAAAAGAAAATAGCTTGCTAAAATTATAAACAGTACCTGCAGAGATTAAATACAATACCTGTACAGTACTAGTTTTGTTACTGCAATGAAGTTTTTGTGATCTACATCCAGGTAAGTGAACTCTTAAGATGACAATGGTGGTGAGGCAAACCAGAGGCTGGGCTTTACTAAACAGGCAACCGGCCCTAACACGTAGCACTGCACACCACACCTGACACATTAATGGGAAAGAGTCAGTGCCAGCCCTGTATATATGTACTACTGGTTACTAGTATGAGTTCTCTATACTATAATGAGGCAAACCACTAGGAAATTAACTGAATCCTATTTCAATATATCAATGCAAACATTCACTTTGGAACAATGATGCCTATCAAACATGCAGGTAATAAAACCACAGCCATGATAATAAGACATTTATGTACTGTAATTGGCACACTTTATTTAAATATCGGTTCAGTGTTATCATTTACATGGACGTGTGTGTTTTTATTGTCATGATGAAGAAAACAGAATTTAAAATTAAAGTCTCCATCTACTATTACTGTATTACTTTAAACTATATCGAGACTTGCAATTAAATAAAAATTCACATTTAAACATTAATTTATTGACAAAACATGGATTTTGGTAACCCCCATTTTCTCACTTTTAGAAATTTAGTTCAAGATATGAATGTGGTGGTGAGAATTGGTAATGTGTACACACCATTTAAATAAACCTGAACAGGCTTGCAGCCAAGACATCAGGTGCAAGTTGTTAATGCATTAGGGGTAATATTTGAGGCAATATTAATTCATACATTCTGAAGAAATTAAAAACCTGCTGGAAATATCACAGATTCTTACAACAGCTCTAGGTACTTTGTGAGTCTGGCTAAATGTCTCTTGAGCCACTTTTCTTGCACTTGTTAATCACCATTTAACCCTTCAACAGCATTCCATTTTTAGGTATACAGTACTGTATAAGGGGGTAGGAATAGGAAATTGTTACCCATTGGTTTAGAGTTAAAAGTGTTTTCCTCTATGGTAATCTCTCTGCTTAGAGTCATTACTGCTTCTCTCAGCACTTCTGTCTCTTTTATGAGCATAATGCCTGCTTCTCCCTTGGTTTCCATCATCACATTGTTTAGAGTGATTACGTCTCCTTTCCCTGTTGTCAGATGTCACAGTACTGTCCCCGTGTCTTTGCCTGCCCGAGGAGCCAATGTTTCGATACCCTTCTCCGGTCGCTGTGCTTCCCGAATGCTGCTGAGGATGCAGGATGATGGGTTTCATCCATTGACGGTCACGACAGCCAAATCTAAGTTGTCCAGCTTCTTTTCGACCACCCCAACCTCCTCCTAGTCTCCTTGGGACCCAGCCCTTCATCCTGTGTCCAGCTTCCCAGTCAACTATTATTGGTCGGCCTCCAATTTCAAGGCCACTATATTCTCTGACGGCGCGGACTGCATCACGTTCACGCCGAAATTCAATAAAACCATATCCTTTACTCTGACCAGTGACAATGTCTCGCACTAGACGAACACACTCAAGTGCACCAAACCTGGAAAATTTTTCATGCAAATATTCTTCCTCGATATTATGAGGCAAACGACCTATAAATAGCGTGTGTTCTGGTTTAGACTCAATGTCAGGAGGTACATAGTGAGCATTCATAGCCCGCCATACTGCCCGATCGTGTGGCTCAGTGTCTGTACCATCTATACTACCAGCTGCTAGTGGGTTGTAGACACGAGCAATAGGGGACCATTCACTCATCATGTCAACTCCTATAATGTTATAAACTTGCATAAATAACTCTGTGAATATGTATGTTTAATGATCAATATTCCTCAAGATCCATTACTTTTATTTTCCATCAGATCAACACTCGAGTCCAGAGTCCATTAAATCTCAAAACTTTAGCTGTTCTCTTCGTCCTTTATGGCATCAGCCCCTGTAATAGTGAACATAATATTTAGGGTGATGATTATAATGATCATGATTGATTATGAGTGATAATAATTATTTATTGAAGATTAATTATTGATAATAATTATTTATTGAAGATTATTGATATTTATTTATTGAAGATTATTGATAATTATTTACTGAAGATTATTGATAATGATAGATTGTTGAAGAAAATGATTGATAATGATGATCAACATAAAATCAAAGCAAACATTAAAAAATAAATTTTATTTCCATTTATCATTACACCTCACGTACCTTCGTACTTGTACAGCTCAAACTCTGAAATCCACAACTCTAAAGTTTGAAGAAATCTAAAATTCAATTGACATCTGGCCTGGACCTCAAATTCCAAAACTTGGAAAAAGCCGTTTTTTCTAAAACCAGTTTTTGTGATATAGCTCAAATGCGATGTCTGCAAATGCTACCTAGGTATGTTAATTCCTAGCCAATTCGCCAGGCCAACATACAGGCAATTAAAACATCTAATAATTACTTAATAAGTAATATTAGGAGGACACATCGCTACCTGGCATTTAATTGCAATTCTCAAAACCCCCTCCTTCACTCCCCACTATACGCATCACGACCCTCATCTCTTGCCTCAGAGAGAGCAGTAATTAAAAGTCAACTCTCGAGAGGTGGGTTATGGATGTCGTATTCGAGCTATATCACAAAAGCTGTTTTTTTATAGAAAAAAACGGCTTTTTGTTCAAGCTCTGAATGCGACATCAGCAAGAATACCCAAGCAGGAGGTGGAGAGGGAGGTAACTTTGCATACAAGGCTCCGCTGACTGAGGTCCCGATTATATTATAAACCGTTTTGAACATTTCCAAAATTAGTAACATTAACCGGAAGGTAAAATGTTAATTTACTCAAAACGGATACTCACTTTATTCTGATGAGGAAGAAGGTCCTGGTAGTGGAGATTGACTAGATGGGGGAGGGGAACCCAGCACCACCACATTTGAAGCATCTCTTAGAGATAGATAAAGATAGCTGTCTTTGAAAGTTTTTGAAGATCTCCGAAAGCCCATTTCCTTGATCTGACTGAGACTCATATGCCACAGAAAGGCCACAGACCCTGCATATTTCCTAATGTCATGTGCCAAAAATTTCTTGCCAGGGTCTGCTTGATTCACTAATTGAGATAAGGATTTTGTCAATTAACTAGGAGATAATTTCATACCATCCCTTGATGAGAAAACACAAGGGTCTCGATTAGGGAATCTGGTTAACCATTCCTGAAGATTTTTAACTGGACACAATATGTGAGGAACCCTCGTTTCATCCATTAGACGTTTTATCCTAATAGGCTGAGCTTGGATATCTTCCCTTTCATTTTTTCTAAGGATCTCCGTAGGAAAAAGGATAACATCCTCGTCAGAAAATACCAATAATGATGGATTATTGGAAATTGAAATCAGTTCACCGATTCTCATATCCGTTGCTATTGCTAGAAGGAAAGCTGCCTTCTGGAGTAATTTATCCCTGTTCAGATTTATATTGTAATTAGGCCCCATAAAAAGACAAGTAACTTTTTCCAGAGACCAAGGCGGGATTCTCTTGGGTCAAGGAGGTCTCTCAATGAAAATGGACGATCTTAGCATTTGATAAATCCTTGGGTTCAAAGTAATATTAAAATCCCAAGCCAGAGGGTCAACCAACGCTGATTTATAAGATGCAATTGTCGATCCTTGAAGGCCTTTAACTCTGAACAGAAATTCTAAAAATTCTAACACAACTGTTTCCGATACTGAATCTGGAGTTGTTAACTTGATAAATTGCTGAAAAAGATTCCAAGCTTTCTCATATTGAATAGAAGTTTGGGGTCTATGACCTGCTAATACTTGGTTAGCTATATTGGAATTACCCAACAACCTATTTAAAATTTTTTTGAGAAACTCCAAGCGTGAAGTGCCAAGGATATCTCGAACTGAGAATGTAGTACCTGGTATAGACATCCTTGTTGCAATTGTAGAGGATTCGGGCACCAGTCCAGTAGATCTAGGCACCAAGGTTGTAGGATCCAATATGGTGCAATTAAGAGGACTTTGCTTTGGAAGGATCTGAGTTTGTGAACCACTTTGGGCAATATTTTCACAGGTGGGAATAGATAGATTGAATTCCAAAGGTTCCAATCTAAGAGAAGGGCATTTCCTAAAAGATTTGACCTTTCCAGAGATGCATAAATTGGCATCTTGTGATTTGTTAGGTAGGCAAACAGATCTATGTGTGGAGTTCCAAACTTCTTCACTAGACTCTTGAACTCCGATACCTTTAGGGACCATTCTGTTTCTGTCGATACTGGCCAGAGACGGGACAGCGCATCTGCCCAATTGTTTTGCACTCCCGGTATATAAGTTGCTTTGAGGTAAAGTGTTTGTGTTGCACAAATACTGAAAAATTTTCTGATAGTTGTAGAAGGGGCCAAGACCTTGTTGACCCTTGATGATTGAGACAAAACACTGCCGTTTTGTTGTCCATGGCAAACAGGATCGTCATATTTTGTAAATTTGGGTTTGCCAACAAAAAGAATAGGACCACTGCTAATTCTTTTATATTTATGTGTTTGTCTCAAAGGAAGTTGCTCCACTTCCCTTGATTGAATTCCCCTTTTGAAGAATGTTATCCCCATCCTATTTTGGACGCATCCGTACAAACGACCAAACCTGTTTGAGGTGGAACCCAGGGAGAGTGACCGATCAGATTGTCCCAGTTTGTCCACCATAACAGATGATTCTTTATCTGAATAGGGAGAGAAGAAGCAACGTTTCTGTTTCTGCGAAGCAACTTCGAGCCCAGATGAGATAGTTGCTTTTTCCTTAACTTTCCCAATGAAACCACTATTGTGGCAAAATTCAACAGACCCAGAAATTTTTCCCAATCGTGCCAAGAAACCTTGTGCTTTACACAAAAGGCTTCTACTTTGTTTATCAAATCTGTTACTTTTGTTCCTTGTAGACTGACTGACTGCTGATTTGTATCCCAGTGGAGACCTAATCAATCCAACTTTTGATATGGTATTAAATTTGATTTGACCTGGTTTATCTTTAAACCAAGGTTTTGAAATATTACCAGTGTACGTTGGGTCGCCCTTTGACAATCTTCAAAAGAGTTTCCCATTATCAGCCAATCGTCTAGATAAGCAAAGGTTCTTATGCCCTCCTTCGCAAGGATCTTTCTGGGAATATTTGCCAGTTTTGTAAAGACTTTTGGTGCAATTGTCAGACCGAATGGCATCACTGTGAATTGATAACTTAATTCCCCTAATTTGAACACCAGAAATTTTCTGTACCTGGGAGCAACAGGAACGTGATAATAGGCATCTTCGAGATCCATTTTTGAGATCCAAGCATTGGGCGGAAGTAGATGCCTCAGATGGTCGTAAGTGAGCATCGTGGAACTTCTTTTGGGAATAAATTTGTTTAGGATTGAAAGATCCAAAATCCACCTTAATTTGTCGCTGCCTTTCTTGGGGACTGGGAATAGGCAAGACATGAAACATTTCTCTGACTGCAACAGTTCTATGACACCTCTGTTTAGTAGTTGACTTAAAAATTTTGTAAATAATGGGATTGGTTTTTGACCCTTCTTTGTGAATGCTAGGGGAGGGCGCCTCAACCAAGTCCATGTGAGACCCCCTTTGATTGTCTTGTAAGCCCATATGGAAGAAGTCCATCTGTTCTCTCAACCCCCTAGACAACCCAGCTGTCTGGCTGAGGTGGTGGAATAAGGTCTCCTTCCCTTTCTGAACAAACGGCCACCTCTATTACGTCTTTGATTATTTCCTCCTCTAAAATTTCCCCTAGGTTGATAAATGACCCGGGCAGCTGGTCCTGTTTCCCTGTAAAACCTTCCTCTCCTAGGTTTCTGAAAGGTCTGAGGACTCCTGGGGACATAAATATTAATAGTATTCTCCAAAGATGATCTATAATTAATCAATGATTGCTCACCAAACAAAGCAGGAGAAAGAGGAGAAGAACGTATCAACAAATAAGCGCTACCACTTGAAGCATTATTTGTTGCTTGTTTCCTTAGCTGGACTTTCAGTCTTAGGGCTTTCAACAAATGATCTAAAAATGAGTTGTACAGGGGATATGGGATTCCTTGTAGAGCAGCAGCAAAACATTTGTCCACTTCTGAATTTTCTTCATAGTCCAGCACAAACTTAGTTAATAACTGACACATCATAATTGCAGAACAAACATCTGCTGCCAATTTCCTTATTTTAAATTCTTCAAGCAGCAGTGCAGGGGCAACTGGTTTCAATTTTATTTTCATAACTTATATCAACATAGTTTGAAGCCGACAAATATTGGGAAAGTTCATTAAATTGGAACTTCAAAACACTAAACTTGTGAGCATTCCTGTCTGCGGGAATGAATGTTAAGTCTTTCAATAAATTAGCCCAGACTTCGTCTATTTCAGAGATCACCTTTGGGCAAATATCAGGCCAAGAAAGTGTAGTATCACCCTCCAAAAACAAAGAATGATGACCCAAAGTTGCTTGTCCTTCCTCTCTCTTTGTAGTTGCTGAGATATCAGGAAGCTGACATTTTCATAAAATATCTTGAATAAGGAATCCACAGATTCAGATGGATTAGTGAACAAAGAAGACTTTGCTCTTACTAATGTTATCCATGGCCTGTTTGAATCAACCTTACACTCTATATTATCCAGCAGCTGCGTGTCAGTCGACAGCAGCCTGTTTCCACTCGCAGTAACCAACACTTTTGCCCCAGGTGGAAGTGGTTGCCAAGATGTGGGTAGGATGAAGTCAGTCTCAACAGGTTCTTCCTGCTCAAGAGACTGGTTACTATGATTAGAACCAGGCTCATCGTCCTGATCCTGGAATCCACTGAAATCAGATTGAGTAGATAGAGGTTTTTGTAGACTTCCTACTGCCCCATTGTCTGGAGGGTCCAATAACTTATTTTTCTTAGCAGAAGCAGTCTTCTCTACGTGGGGATTAAGTCTTT